AACCCCACTCTCCCTCAAAACACAATGGGATGGAGCAAACCTGCAGCTCACCCCTCAGCAAGTCACTGCCTCGCCAACAGTAGGCATCAATTTATGGTGAGGAAGTGTAAAAGGGTCTATTCCTTTCACAAGTAGTACCAAGAAGCCTTAGTTACCTTGGCTACATGGGAGATTGTTGTGGTTGATGTCCAACTGCTGCCATGCGCACCACAGCTAGCATACATCGTGTAAGGGATGCTTTTCAAGAAGCTGTGACAGTAAGGTTTTTGTCCATTTGTTTCTGTTTTCTTTTTTGGCAGGCTCTCAGAAGCACTAAATGTACTGGAAGAGAAGAACAATCTGGGTGTCTTGACTAGTGCACATTCTATATGCCAGCGGGCTCCGGTCAGCACTTCTTTTCTCCAGTTCACTGAGACCTTCAGAGAGGCTTCTTGTTGTTCCCAGGCAAGTATCTACTTCTACTCACTGTACCAAACTACTCTGAGAAGATGAAACAATGTTTTGATTTGCTTTGTTTTGCTTGAGGACCTTCTGTCCTTTTCCACCTCTTCTATAATGAGCTGTAGAAGAATGCCTCATTAATTCTAAACGGGTATGTCCATGTAACCACTCATCCCTGATGGCCACAATTAACCTCCAGCCAGCACAAACCCATTTTGGCATTTGGCTCCTTGATTATTACCGTGTTTCTCAGAGATGACAGAGGGCTGCAGGATTCTCACGGTGCCCGGTCACACTGCACAGGTGTCTTCCTTCCCCCTTGGCCCCACCAACCTGAAGCATCCACACAGCAGTTGCCCACCTGTAATCCACATTATCTCTGCTTTTCAACTCTTTGACCACAAGTAGTTTTCTTTGTGGGCTTGGTCACTGAGGGGGGAATCTGACCCTCTCAGCATCTTTGAATCTTTTCCCACAGCATAAAAGAGGAAGTAGCTGATGATTTATTAAGATGTAGTAAACCATTAATTCCACCATTCAGGACCCAGTGAATTTTTTTTTGCTGCATCTTTTATCGAGCCACCTCTGCTCTATTGACTGGATGATTACTTGTTTCTAAAAGTAACTGCAGGTTACCCAACAACCTGATGTCTGTCTGAAGAAAGACAAATGGCAGATTGATGGATCGATCTATCTACCGGTTAACATGATTGTAAAACTATTTTAAACAATCAACCTGTTTCTGCTCCAGGATTGTTGCAGGAAGCAGCTTTGGGAAAAAAAAAGGGAAAGTACTTCTAAGATGAATGACATATGAATGTACTTATGCAGGCAATATCTAGACAAGGGCAACGAGATGAATGGGAAACGCTGGACCAGAGTTTCTGTTCTGGCATGGAGATGCTTCTCTACTCCCTGCACGCAAATTTGCCTTGCTGCCTCTTGATGTTGTGCTCAGATAGTGCCACTGCTGGTACTTCCCTCTGACAGTAAAAACATTTCCATAATAATGATAACAATAGCAGCCAGATGGTAAAATTCTGAAGGAAAAAAAAAAAAGAGAGAATTTTTACAAGCTTTCTGTCTGCTAGGACTGGGAATATTTAATCTGTTCTTTGCAATGCAATCTTTCAGGATGGGCAAGTCTTCTTTCCCCTTCTTTGTCTCTCTGCATTTGTTTTCCTTTCTGCAGCAAAATGGGAGAAAATTTGCAGCAAAGTAAGAGCTGGAGAACTAGCCAGAGCAGGGGTTAATTGGCATATAACAGGTCTGTTGTAGGAGGAGGTATGGAGACTTATGTATGAACTACTGGGAATTAGGAAACAGAGCTCCACCTCGCCCTTTACTTCCTGTTTTGTTCTGTGGGGGTTTTCTCTCCCTCTGTTTGTGATGCTGTTAAATGAAGCTTGTGGTGCTATAAGTAATGACCTTGTTTTTCCTGACTTGAGCCATGTTCGCTCAGCAAAACATAGCAGTGCCTGCCTGTTCAATGTAACAAAGAACTCTGGAAGTTCCTGCTACTGTGATGCCTTAGTACACTACGGGAAGCAAGTAGAATTATCAGTTTTATCATTTAAGTCCTATATGGGCATTATTTATCCTGTGCACATGCTGTTTTAAAGAACTTGCAAATGAAAAGAGGTACTGCAGGTGCTGTAGATGGATTTGTGCAGTCCTGAGCTTTGAGCAAGAGGATGCAGCCACGCATTACTTTTTTTTGGATGGAGGCTGTGTTTTTGAATGTATTAAGTTCCTGAAGACCATCCTGCAAGTTAGACACAGAGACCTGGCCCAAGGAGCTCGCAATGTGGGGACAACACACAGACCCAGGGATGGCATTAGGGACTGGGACATACAGGGATGCAGCGTTGCAGGAGGCGGCTCCAGTAACCATGATGGCAGTGGGGCCATTTTGTAGATTCAAATTCAGACACTGTGCAAGCTTCCACAACTCTGTTAAAATGCACAGGCTTGCATGCTAAATTGTTGCTGCAGTTGTTGCTGCAGGTGTTGGCCCACTGCCTTACAGAACTGTGTCAGTGCTTCTTCACAGCGCAGATCTTTCTCGACCCTTAGCTTTGCTTGTAATCCCCCTTCAAGGTATCCACCTTTATGCTTTTAGTGTTTAAATCTGAAGGATGATTGTAGACATCTCATGTCTTAAACAGATCGAATGCTCAGTCTGGCGCGTCTCGTTCAGGTTGGGAGTAATGACAATGTTAGTGACTGCTAGGATAGGTGGCAGCCTGCTGAACTGTCTGATTCTCTAACAGCTGAACCAAACTGCTGTATGAATTTAAACTGATATATGCCTCGTTGGAAATGAGTTAGTGAGTATTTGTGGTGAAAATTTCAGTGTTAATTTAAATGGATTCAGGTAAAATCTGACTTCCTCTAAGACATGCTACCAATGCTTTCCATTCACCTCTCTGGTAGAAGAGTGATTTAGAGTTGATTTTGCTTAACCAAGGAAACACAACTAATGTAATAAGCCTCTTAAGATTTCTGTTAACCAGTGGTATTAACTGGGATATCTCAAATGCTGCAGCTATTTTGGTGCATTGTTCTTTATTACCATAACACACTTGTGTTGGTGCTTTAGTGGGATACATTTTAGCATGTCTGTACTGTTCCAGGCCACTAAGGAAGACTGAATGGGGAGTGACTGGGGAGGCTGCTGACAGGGGTTAAAATCATAGAATCATTGAGTGGCTTAGGTTGGAAGGAACCTTAAAGATCATCTAGTTCCAACCCCCTGGCCATGGGCAGGGCATTACCCACTATATCAGGCTGCCCATGGCCCCCCATCCAACCTGCCCTTGAACACCTCCAGGGATGGGGCACCCACAGCTTCCCCAAGTATCCTGTGCCAGTGTCTCACCATCCTCTGAGTAAAGAATTTCTTTATAACATCTAACCTAAATCTACTCTTCTTTAATTTAAAGCCATTCTCCCTCATCCCATCACTATCAGACCATGTAAAAAGTCTGTTCCCCTCCTGTTTATAAACTCCCTTCAAGTACTGGAAGGCCACAGTGAGATCTCCCTGGAGCCTTCTCTTCTCCAAGCTAAACAAGCCCATCTCCCTCAGCCTGAATTTCACTCAGGACTCTGAAGATGATTTAAAAAAAAAAAAGATTGGTTTGACAAATTACTTGTTCTTGCTGCTTTGGCCTTTAAGCAGTACATTAACCCCACCAGTGTGAGAATTAGTGGCCTCACAGTGCCACTAGTAGTGGAATGTCACTCTCCCCCTCTTGTCATCTCCTCCAGCACTGTGACCTGCCTGAAGTGAACAGGGGCACAAACCCCACTCAGCATCGTACCCATCATTCCCATCAGGCCAGTGCCAGGGTGCTGCATCAAGGCATAAAGGCAGCCTCTATCACAGAATCACAGAATTGCCAGGGTTGGAAGGGACCTCAAGGATCATGAATCTCCAACCCCCCTGCCACACGCAGGGCCACCAACCATCCCACCTAATGCTAGACCAGACTGCCCAGGGCCCCATCCAATCTGGCCTTGAACACCTCCAGAGATGGGGCCTCTAGATCTGACGTGTCGCCCCAGCAGCTGATGTAAGGTGGCTCTCAAAGAAACAGTCCTGCTTCACATCAGAGGTGAGCTGCACAGACAGGCTGGACAATGGTTACAACAGGATAAATGTTTTAGTACAGGGTTAATCAATTGCTGTAAAGGCCAGGAGGTCAGTGGGCTTCTCTCAATTTCTGCTACCCTTGTAGGCTTATGAGCACTAGGAACACATAATATTCACATCTGTAGCATGTCTGCATTATCTGTTGGTCATTTATTAACTCTTTATATAAGTTCTCTTAGCAAGTTGCATCTACTACAAAACTTCCTTATAATTTTTTGTTTTCCCATCAGACAATGATAAATCATTGCATTCTAAATTTCAATTACAAGTAAACCCCAGAGTGAAGAGTTGGTAATGTGGTCCAGACATTCCATGCAGATCTTGTCAGACCGGACTGTTCTGGTGTCTCTTTCAACTAAAACATCACTGAAACACTCATTTTGCATACTCTATGACAGCATAATCTCTTATGAAACAGATATCAAAACTGAAGCAACATGTTTTGATGTTAGTGAAAAACAGCGCTTTCATTGATCCCAACTGAGCTTTTCCACTTCTGGAATTTTCATTTTACAGGAGATTAATAAAAATGATCATGGTTTTCATTCTCACTTATGAACACAATTAACTTGGGAAAAAAAAAAAAAAAAAAGGAATTCCCTTGCAGCTAGCAAGTCTGGTATTTCTGCTTGCTTCTCTGAAAAATAAATGGGATTACTTTGTTTAAAAACTGCTTTTAGAAACCACCGTTAAAGCCCTAAAATGCACAGGAGGGCATGATCCTTTCTCCTTTGAAGTCACTGGCACAGTATCCATTGACTTCACAGGGAGTGGGATTGACTGAATAATTGTATTGCAGTATGAATGTCTACCCTGACACTGCACAAAGTCACGCTGAAAGCCACTTGATGTCATTCTAATCCTGTCTCCTCACAGTGGTGTTCTGGAGAATAGGGCTGTGTTTTTTTTTTTTTTTTTCCCCCTTTTCGTATTTATTATTTGCAGAACGAACTAGTTAACAAATAGAAAGGACAAAGCCGAGTGGCTGTGCCATTAATCTCTAAAGCAACTTGGGCTGCTGCTGCTGAAGTGATCAACTGCTCCGTGCAGCAAGCGCTAACAAGAGGCTTTTAGCCAGCCGTACTTTAATGTGCTAACAAGAAACCCGTTAGCTGGAGGTATCACAGAAATGTGTGGAGTTGTGCAAAGCTGGCAGAAGTGTCTGTTTCACGGGGTTTTTGGCTGGAAGATTCCCAGTGTTTTGCCTTTGAGCAATCAGAAAAGCAAACACCTGCTTGGGGGTAGAAGAAGGGACTGGAATAGCCAGGCACTGGCACAGGACACACACTGACAGCTTACCTGGTGTGATACTGGGCCACTAGTGCAGGGGAGAAAGGGGATGAAATGTTCCCTCCACAATGCTGGCCACAGCCCTCCCTGTAAGTTCTGCCCCTTCGGGGACAAAGTAAAGTGAATGGAGTTGCTGCCCCATGGACCTCTGAAGGCGCCAGGTTGTCCTGGAAATGCTGGCTCTAATCTACCAGTGATGTCACTGGACACACGATCATGTACAGAAAACAAGCTTTTAAGAGGTCTGCAGCTCATTATTCTTCTCAGCCTCTGGGTCCTCCAGCGACCATATGGGATGGTAGGGATGGCACCTCCTTCTGAACTTCTTTTTTGTACTTCTCCACAGTTATCCAAATCCCTCAATCTTTTTAAGCTCCTCTGTCACCAAGTCAACTAAAGGATACCAAATTTTCTCCTGTTATATACCTATAATCAGGAGATGCCAAAGCAACAAACTACTGTTTGATGATGATGGGATAAAGCCAAATTTCATTCTGTTTCTATGTTCAAATATCCCAGACTACAGAAATGTCAAGACAAGTCCTGGGCTTTTATTTGTTTGACAGTTAACTCGGCTTGGCTAGGGCAAGGTTGTCAGATGCTCAGCCATTTCATTGGCTAAAGGGTACAGTTTCAAAAAGTCAGTTGTGAAAAAGAATGCCAGGTCTGTAGTTTGCTGATATATATTAAGCAAGACTTACTTTTACACTGAAGTGCACCGGACGGTTGTAGCACAACATATTTCACTTTCAGCTGGCTCCAAATAAGCTTTGAAAAACCAAAGAACCCTGATGTACTTCTGTTAATCACTGATATGGTCTTTGATCTGTTGTCAATTTTGTGCGGCTGATTTTTGCTTCCCCACTCTTTAAGTAGCTTTCCATTTGTGTTTTTCTTCTAAACATTATACGTTCTCCATTGCAGTTTGAGCAAGCAGGGGAAGCCATAACAATATGAAAAGTGATATATTTTTTAATACTTCTGATCAAATGTATCTGTTGTGGACTGTCTTTGTGCAAAATCAGTGCTATTCTGAAGGACAAGGAGGATTTGGAGTAATATCTGAACTGCCCAACATCTTCCTCCTGACATTACTTCCAGTTTCTCTGTGACATGGGTGATTATTTTGCAAAAGTTTCTCACAGTTGGGTGTCCTTAGCTGTTGACCTCTGCCAGAAACACAGAGCAGCTTTAGGCCTGAAGTGAGGACTAGCGAACACACTTTGGGCATTTTTTTTACCACATAGCTTTTGGTCAAGCCCACTTAGATTTCTGGGCTGACTCTCAGTTGATGGTGCAATGAGCTGGGGCTGATGTGGTTGTTGCAGGAGTGAGCATCTCTGAGACGGATACCCAAAGATGACATGACTGCCACGCTGCAAGATTCAAAGAGGATGGAGCGGTCTGCTGCCATGGTCAACATGTTAGGTGGACAATAGCAGGGACATCAGCTCCTGTGAAACTGATTAGGTAGAAACATGCAAAAATGCACTAAGTCCTCACATAGGTGATGATCTCAAGTGTCTGCCAAAGGTCTAATTTCTCTGATTTCTGATAGGACTCCTGAGTAACTTTTTGTCAGTGCTGGATGCTTCCTAATCAGCTGGTCACTACACCACCATGCTCACTTTTCATCTTTTCATGATGTTTTGCTGCTGACAGCACCCACTCACTGCAAGGATAATGAGTAAAGCTCAGCCAGCCTCCCCTTCTGCCACAGGAATTAGCTGTGCTTTGCAGTTTGTGGTATGAGCAAAACAGAGGAGATGTTAGTTTTCAGGTTCATCGCTGTTTACACGGAGGGCTGGCAGAACACTAAACAAACAGCACAGAAAGACAACCACAGGGGCTGAACCTTCAGTGGCTTGGAATACCCTAAATCTGCCTCAGATGATGTGTGGCTGCAGATGAGGTGAGAAGGGGCTCTTAGAGGCACTGTTACATTCCCTGATAAAGCAAATATTTACCAGATACATGAACCAGTCTTCCTCCTGTCCTCTTTAGATTAAATTGGCTGATAGAGCAGAACACGGTCTTAACTCTTTGCTCTATGCCCAGGATGGAAATCACCAGACAAAATAAAATTACTGACAGCGGAATTCGCTCCTGAGAAAACCACTCGATCGTTTTGTGTGCATGAGGCATAAACCTCAAATTGTGTGTTTGGCAACATATGAAGGCTATATGCATATACAGTCAGTTGGTGTTGTTACTTCCATTAAATGAGGTCTCTTCTTTTTCTCTATTTTCGATGCAGTTCTCCAGGGAGATTAATTTGTATGAAAGTAGAGCGCTAATTGCACAAAACAAGCTGGGGTACTGCAGAAGCATAATTAAATTAAAAAAAATGTGGTGTTAATACAATTGTGGTGCTAATTAAATAAAATTGGTGACAAGTGTCTAAGGCAGAGCAAGCGTAAGGAGAAAAACTGACAAAATGATCCATTTAAAAATTCTCGCAGATATTATAGTTCACTGGTAACTGAGCCGAGTTAAAAGTAATTGTATGTGAAGCGCCGCGCGAGCGCCTGATCTCACTCTCTGTGAAGTGGGACTTTTGCCAATTCAGACTTTAATGTTCCATGAATTGCTGATAGGAAAGCGATAGGCTCTTTTCATTTCTGCACTCATTTAAGTGTGGGTTAATTCAGGTCTGGACAAACATACAGAGCACCAGCCCAGGAGGCAACAGGCGCAGCCGTGCCAGGATACTGTTGACCAGCCGCTCTTCAATAGCAATTGTTGGTGTGCTTGGAGAAGCAGCCATGCCAGCAGTGCATGGTAGCTTCAGCCTCAATGCCAACTGGCTTTCTAGACCCTCACAGTAATTGGAAATAACCTGCCAAAGCCTCTGGTTTTATTTTAAGCTCTGCTACATTGCACATAAATCCACAGGAGTGCATCAGGGTGCATCACTTGACACCCTCTCCCATCCTCAGTCAAGGAGGGGAACACTTAATCAGCAGCCTGCTTGACTCCCTCTCTCTTTGGCATTTAATAATGGCTTGTAGGAACTGCATGATGCCAGCTGCATTCACAGCTTCCTCTTTGGGATTGGCCTCCCCTAGCATCTTCCTGTGCAGCACCTCACATTTGGACCCCACCTTCTCATACTGCTTGGCTGCCCTGGGGATGCTCAATGAGCTGCATTTGCCGTGTTGGTGCCATGTTGGTCCTCTGGTCATTTCCAGCATCCCTCCAGCCTCCCACTGTCCTACCATATTGGGTAGCCATTTTTTGTAAACCCTGAGTTTCCTCACTATTTGTGTTGAAGGAGAGAAAAAAAACAAAACACCCTCGTCCCCTTCCCACTGACAAATAACAATCTCAAAGCATTTCTAGCCTGTGTGGTCCCAAAATAAATAAAAAAGCCCTTTCAGATGTGGAACAAGGTGGCCCTGTCTTCCTGACTCAGCAGCCTAAAACAATAGCTATGAGGACTCACCTCGCAGCAATCTGTACCCCCTCAGGGGTCATGTTATAATACAGCAAGCCTCCGGCTGTTGTTCTAAAATACATTGACTTGTTTTTGGAAGCTGGCTTGAGTAACTCCACCGAGCTTGCAGGAAATTAGTTGCAATCTGTCATACAATGGGAATTTTGCCTTTGACTTTGCTGGGAGCAAGATCAGGACCTCGGTGCCTGCAGAATTGCCAGCTCCATCAGTTTGCTGGCCTGGGCTTCCAGATTTCTGCTCTTTCTTGCTGGGGCCTCTTTTGGGCTCCAGCACCCATTTCATCTCCTGACCTCACTGATGACTGATCCTCTGTTCTCCATGTGCATGCTGCTGGGCTGTGGATGTTGCTGGCTGTTCATAATAAACTTCTTTTTAATTCCAATTTCGGTTTTGGAAAATTGCTGCTGGAATAAAATTGCTGCTGTGTTTCAGTCTGGTGCCTTTATTCACTTTCTCATCTCTGTGAATCTGAGTTCATCATCCTTCCTGTCTTCATTAGCGTGACTCTTCCTTCGTTTCTGTAGTCTCTACATAATGGCCAGTGCATTTCCTCCCCTTCTTGAAAGCTGCACGTGATGCTATGTCTTAATTACATCTGGGTTCCTCTCAGCTCTGTCTGTCTTCAAATGGAAAAAGAAAATATGAGTGAAATAAAAAAAACAGGAAAGAACCCAAAAAAGCAGGAATTGGCACAAAGTTGTTAGCTTCCTACGAATGCTCAACTTGACAGTACCATTAACTGTATGGGTGTGTGTTCCTCCTTCAGAGAAACACTGTTGGCCTTGCTTAGCTGTAGTAAGACTAAAGCCATTTTTTTGCTGCTTTCTTGCCTCAACAAGCATCATTCCCGTTCATTACCCTGAGGTAGAAAGAAAATCAAAACACTGAGATCAGGCCTGAGAGTTAATAACTATCTCAGGGACAGGGACAGTGACTTTGGGGGTTGTCCCTGTACCAGAGAAAAGTAGAATCATTGAATATCCAGAGCTGGAAGGGAACTACGAGAATCACCAAATCCAACTCCTGGCTTCAAATAGGACAGCCTCAAATCCAAACCCTATGCCTGAGAGCACTGTCCTATCACTCCCTGAACTCTGGAAGCTCAGGACTGTGGTCAAAATCCTGAGCAGTCTGTTCCATACCCACCACCTTCTGGTTGAAGAACCTTTTCCTAACCCCAACATGACTTCTCCTGCTGCAGCCCCATGCCATTCTCTCAGGTCCTGTTGCTGTCATCAGAGAGCAGTGCTGACCCTCCACTCCCTGTGAGGAGCTGCAGGCCACCATGAAACCCCCCCCTTGGCTTCTCTACTTTAGGCTGAACCAACTAAGGGACCTCAGCTGCTTCCCATATGCCTTGCCCTTTAGATCCTGAATGTATTCAGAGCATTATACATAGACTGAGCTTGTTCCTGCATACGCACTATACCAAGCCAAATGCAGACCAAAAACAGCTGCTGTAGCCAGATTGATTTGTGCAGAATGACTATGAACATGGGAGATTCAGGTAATAAGTGGAGGAGGTGGGTGAGCAGGATGGAAGCCAAGGTGGCTGGAAAAGCAACATCAGCGGATGGGGCGTCCCTGCTGAGGACATGCTGACCCTGCATCATTTCTGCCTATTTCCCAAGGCACAACCACTGCTTTGGGTTGGACTACTTTTGTAGGGGAAAGAATAACAGCCCTTTTGTTGAGATTCTTGGATGCTAATTTCTGAGCACTCAAAGCAAGAGCAAATGTGAGTGAAGTCTACAAACACAGCGGGAACTTTGTGAATTCACACTAAGGGCTGAGAGTGGCTTACAGCCTGTTTGACACTGTGAGTTACTGAGTAAACAGGAACAAATAAGTGATGATGTGTCAGAAAATGGACTTTTATTCCTTTTATTTTTACAGCTGTGATTCAGTGTATTCACTTATGAAGCTGCAAAGTGTTGCAGTAGATTTCTAAACAAACTAATATTTATGTACACTACATGAATTTAGATGCTAAACACATGCATGGCTTAATACAGATACGCTAGATACATATTCTTCATTATGTATACATTTTAAAAATATATGGAGAAAAAGGTAATGAGTATGTATGTAAGTAGGACAGGACTTCAGGATGACTGCTGTTCAAAAACACTGGGGAAAGATAAACAGTTTAAGGGACAGCAAAATTCCTGGTGTAGCTGTGATATTTATGGCCAGATTCTGACATGTGAACTCAAATAACAGCAAGCATTGAGTGTCCATTAGGTCCAGGTTCACTCATTCAGGCTATGAAGCATGCAAATTTTATTAATCTATAGACTCACGTTCTGAAGTCTAGCTTCTTCCTTGCTACAGAGACTTTCCAGGTGATTTGATTTTCAAAATTAATTTGCTGATTTCTGTTTGGTAGATGGGGAAGAAGATGGGGAAGATTGACCCCCAGTGATTCCTCACTTTCAGTTTATTTTCCAAAGCTGAAGGCTTGCCCCAGAGCTGAAACATCTGTTAGAAATCTGAGTGGGCACCACAAAAAATGAAGTGATATGGGTCTGAAGTTGCTTCACTTGCATCTCTAGTGAAAAAAATAGTAACTCCCACTTGGAGTTGGTAGATTAAGGATTCTACAAGATTTTCTTCCCTAAATTGCCGGGGAAGGGGCTGCAGAAAAGTAGGCTTGCCTAATTATAAGAAGAACACACTAGCTGTCCTCTTCTGTAGCAAGAATTTTCTGTTCTCAGTTCTAAGTTCCGATATTTTCACATACCAGCTCTCATTTGACATGGCAATTCAGCAGATGTTAGCTAATTGTTTTCTGCGGAGTCTTCACTATGTAAATAAATATTTCACTTGGATCGATCACTGATGCATCACTTTCTTAACTTTGGTGACTAAACTCACTAGATATGGAACAGGACAACAGCAGCTTTCCCATTCTTATGCCTTAGGCTGGCTGAGATGGATCGTCTAGACTAACAGAAGCAGAATATTTATGGTGTCATTTCCTATGAAATCTTCAGTATCACTACTAAGATGGTCAAAGTTGATAACAATTGTTTTAATTATGTGAGTAGCTGTTACATAAGAAGCCAAAAGAAGCACTTAGCTATGACCAACTCATAGCCATGACCAACTCACTGCCTTGAACAATTCATAGCCATGAAACAGGTGAAGTAGCAGCTCTTAGTAACATCTATGGACTGGGCCAGACACAGGACATTACCTTGCAATGGAAGGATCTTCAGGCTGTTTCCATATCCCCTATAGACTTACCTCCTGATTCACCTCATGCTGCTTCTGCTCCTGCTCATTCCTGTTCCTTCCACCAGGGAGGACACAGCCTTCAGCAGGAATTGTCCTGCTTACGATGCTTGCTCCCATCCTTGGAAGCAGGATGGGAAGTGGGAGCCCTGGCTGATGATAATGGGCTGGTCAGCCTGCTGTTTGCTTCCACCTGCAGCTTAGGGTATGCACATCTGTCTGAAATCCTGCCAGGTCCCCTTGGCGAGGCTTTAGGATGCTTGGGGCTCTTTGCTGTTCCGTTGAGCTTGGGGTAAGCTGGTCTGCATGTGCTCATGGGGTGGAGCTGCTGGGGCAGCTGCAGGGAGTGTTTCCTATCAGTTGCTGGTGTGACGTAGTGGCTGGTCCGCAGTGTGGGAACATGCTGTTTCCTGTGTTTCAGTGTTATTGAAAATGACCAGTTAGAAGATCCTGTTCAGAAGTGGGACAGGCAATTAAGTAAGTTGCCAAACCTAAAAAAATACATACACAAAAGTGCCGGCACTGTGCCTGCTGCCAGGTCAGAAAGCTGATGTATAAGTGTAGCATGGCCTATACGTGCCACACGGGCTCTTTCCAAATGTTAAATGTGCCTCAGCAATTGCTTGACTGAAAACTATCTGGCAGGGAGGAATGAGTCTATTCTCCATGGTCCTTTAAATCCCTGGCCTCTCTGCTCAGCTTGCCAGCCCCTAATATCAGCAGGGAGGATCTTTCTTGGACTGGGCTGACTTTGCTCCATAAAATACCCCAATGGATGGTGTGAATCCTGGAACCCCCAAATCCTGCTGGGCAGTGAGATTCCTGTGAGAGCTGGTGGTTTGAAGCAAAGGCAGATCACTTGGATCGCACTCACAAAGCCTTGTGTCATTTCCTGGCTCTTCTCTCCTGGATGAAGCTTTATTTCAAAGTTTGGGTCAGGCCCTGCATTTGGTGATCTAATGTCTCCAGTCTCTCCTTTGTCTCAGAGGGCATGAACTGCCACAAAACAGCTTCACTAAATTGCCCCTCTGTTAACATTCACTCTGTCTACCTTAGAGCAAGGCCCCAGAGCTTCATCCTGGCTGCACTAGGTGATCCTGCAGAGTACTCTCCCTCATCTTGTGCTGCCAGGACCTGTATCCTGGCAGGACTGCAGCTACCAGGGTCTTGTGGGCCCTCTGCAGAGATGGATCCAACCATCTGAAATGGTGCCACAGAGGAGGCAACAGCTTCCATTGCGTGGTACCTGCTGCTCAGCTGATGTAAAACAATGACAGCTCACAGAGGATACTTGTTACTGTGACCTGCAGGAGATCCCTTGTGTAGTTTTTAGGTACAGAAGGGCTCCAGAACACAATTAAAACCTGACCTCTGTGCGTAGCAATGAAACAGCAAAAAGTGGGCCAGTCTGTGCCGTGCATCTCTGTGCAGAAGCTGTTAAGGCATCTTACCCAGGGGACTTGTGGGAAGCATCAGGTCATACTGGCAGTGGTTTGGCTCCCTCCTGGCTGGCTGGGTAGAAGCCCTCCAAGTGTATCTGTAGCACTTTGTGCCTTTTTCTGTGTCTAGCGCTGGTTGCCCATATGCAGAACTGAATACCATCATTCCACAGCCCCTATCTGTGAGGCACTGGAGCCACGTGAAAGAGAAAAGAGCCTTTTCCTACCTCCTGGCCAGAAGGAGCACTGCACTTCTCTGGATGTGCCTGTGCATGTGTGCGTATGTGTGCAGGACCAGGGAGGAGCAGCGGTTTTGCCTGATGAGCTGTGGAGGGTGTGGGGGCCACATGCAGTACAGATGGGCTCATGTGGGGTTGCTCATTTGCACCGGCAGCAACCCTCAAGTTCCTTGGCTGGGAGGTGTGGGACGGGAGAAAAATACTTCATGCGATGCGTCATGAGGTCTGTTTCCAAAAAAAAAAAAAAGGGGGGGGGAAAGAACAGTGAGAATAATGGTTACAAGAAGTAGCTCTGGGCAGCCAAGACTCCTTTGATGTCTGTATGCTTTTTGCTGCCTCCAAACCATGCTGGAGAACATTGCACCCTGATCACAAAGAGGTCTGCAAGCAGGAGCAGAGGCTTGGTTTCCCTACAAACTTCTTGAAAGCCTGCTTGCTCTGCTCCTGTGGGACATTCTGAGTGCAGCAGCCTGCCTGAGAGGTTTTGCAAGGCAGCATGCAAATGCTGTGCAGAGATATGACATTTTTGGAAGCTACATCCCTTTCTTACAATGAGAATGAAGAAAAACAAGCTGAAGGAAGGTGGGCAGATTTAACTAGGTGGGCTGGGGCAGCTGAGCAGCCTGCACTCATCCATGCCTCCTGTTCTCCTTCTGCAGTGCTGACAAGTCATATATCCCCCGCACCGCACTGCAGTTTTTCTCCAGCTCTGGGAGTCCAAGTGCCAAATATGGCAGATCAGCCTGCTGACCAGCTGCATCTGTTGCATCTAAAGCCAATGAGAAGCTGTGGACCGTATACTCCTCTTTGAGGGCAACTCAGTACTTGTCACAGCACCTGGGTCAGATGAAGGTGCAGGTCAAGGGCAGAGGCCTGCTCTGTTGCTCACTCTTATGCTCCCCCCACAGCCACTTGGAGCCTGGGGAATATGTTGATGGGCTTGCACAAGTAGCAAATCCAGCCCAGCCAGCTGCCACATCCCTTGGCTGCAAGGAGTCCCAAGGAGGAGGTTTTCTGTCCCCACATCAACACCCACTGAGTGTCTCACCTGCCAAAGCTGCTCTGTTAACATGGTTGAGGAAACTCCTGACACCAGTGAGGAGATGAGCTCTAAACATGGGGGCTTTACACTGCTCTCTGTCCATCCCCAGTACAGCAAAGACTCCCTAACATGGGAGAGTACGTCTAGGCCATCCTTAGCAGACTTTTGGTTTGTTTTTAAGACAGACTGGGGAAATACTTTGGGGAGTTTGATGCTGAAGTCAGATCACAGGTTTCTGGTTTAAATATGGTACCTCTCCTTTCCTCTGCTCTAAAATCTATAGCAAACATCAGGAGAAATTCCTGCAGCTGGCTAGGAGCCATAACAACAATACACAGGCAGAGCATGCTTGGGCAGAGGAATGGTCTCCTAACCTGTTTCTCAAGCATGAACTGCAGGAATTAAGCAACAGCTGATGTGCCAGAGACACCTGCTGAGACTGATCAGATGAGTTGTCAGAAAGACAGGCCCTGATGTTCTAAAAGGTCTCCTCAGGATTGATTTCAGGAAGTGGGAGAGTAGTGATTGTAGGAGTAAAAGCTGCAGTAGTGGGAAGAATGTGGTTGATGAAAATGTGGGATTGGGATGTTAGTTGATGAAAACTCAATGTGGGGTGGCAATATGTGCTTTCAGCCCAGAAAGCCAACCATATCCTGGTCTGCATGAAAAAAGGTTTCACCAGCAGGGAAAGGAAGGTGATTGTCTCCTTCTCTCATGAGACCCCATTGGCAGAACTGAATTTAGTTCTGGTGCCTCCAGCATAAAAAGGGCATGGACCTGCTGGAGCAGGTGCAGAAGAAGCCATGAAGATGCTCAGAGAGCAGGGGCACCTCTCCTGTGATGAGAGGCTGAGAGCTGGGATTGTTCAGCCTGGAGAAGGACCCAGGGAGAGCCCATTGTAGCCTTTCAGTACTAAAGAGAGCCTACAGGAAAACTGGGAAGTGGCTTGTACAGGTAGCTGAGTGATAGGTCAAGGAGTTATGGCTTTAAACTAAAAGAAGGTAGGTTTAGTTTAGATATTAGGAAGAAATTCTTGACTGAGAAGGCACTGAGGCACCACTGGCACAGGCTGCCCTGAAGAATTGTGGAAGGCCGGGTTGGATGAGGTGCTGGACAACCTGGTCTGGTGAGAAGTGTCCCTTCCCATGGGTGGGTGTGGGAACTAGATGAGGACCAGTGAGGACCCTTCTAACCCAAACCACTCTGATTCAGAGGTGGATCAAACCAGTCTGGTGGAAATAAGCTCTCAAACACTGGAATACTGCTATTAGCTTCAGCAATGTCACGGAGCGTTGAAGGAATGGCATTAGGTCTTTGTGGGGTTTTTTTTGTTGTATGTATGTGACAGGTATCTTCCTTGATCTGCTGGAAATCAGAAGCATTTACCTGCATCAGTTGTCCTGTGTTTCTGCAACACTATGTGTAGAATGTTTAAATTATGGGGAAATGTCCGTTTATAGCAACTAGAGGGCTGGAGCTTGGCCTGGGAGCCCAGGGCAGTTGGGCTGCTCAGCCCTGCTTCTGTGAATGGGGCTACAGGCAAAGAGCCTGCACTTCAGGGATGCTTGCCAGGGTCAGAGGAGAGGCACCATGTTGGAGCTGGTGTATCCCTGGCAGCCAGAGATGCGTAGATGTGTTCAAGCGCAGCAAGAGCCCACCAGAACTCCGATGCACGTAAATCACTCCAGCAGCAGTAATGCCACGTGTGCTCGTGTACGTGCTCTGCCTTATGTGCACAAGCACTTGGCACACATCCCAAAGAGCTCCTTTATACCTCCCCCCCCCCCCCCCCAACATGTTGAATCCCTGGAGATTTGTACATTGAGTTCAGTAGAGGAAAATTTGAGGAAATGGTGTATCTGTCCTCGTACCTCAGAGCCCTGCACTCCTTAGCCTGACAACTCACATGTTTTCTAGATTTAGTTACCGTGGAGAGGGCAGAGCAGCTGTAGTGAATTAATTAGTAACTTACAGAGCTGTCACAGCCCCTGGAGCTGAGCTGTTACCTGGCTCTGAGCATAAGGACAGCAGTGTTACCTATTCTGAAGTGAAAGCTAGGAGAGATGCTCAGCCTGCTGCTTCTGCTATTCTCAGGGAGAGGAGATGTCTGGAGGGGATGGCTCTCACTGCTGCTCCAGGGCCCTGGGACACAGCTGTCCTGGGGCCTGGTGGGCTGGAGTTGCTGAAGCTCTGCTTGGTTCAGCAGGCTGCAGTCACCTATATGCTCATCAAATTCTTGTTGGGGGTTTTTGTTTTTGAAACTGAGGAAGCGGCACCAGTTCAGTTTGGAGGGTCACTTCCACAGCCAGTTGTAACTGTAATACATTAGAGGTGCAGTAGGAGAGCAAATTTATTTATTATTTGTAAAGGTCTTTCAGTCCAAATCCTCTTAATTGTTAAACTTCTCATTGATCTTGCAGCGATGGAATGATGTGTGGAACTGATTCTCTTTCCTGCTCTTCTCTGCAACACAGGAGTGTGCAGCCTCCCTTGTTGGAGGTAGATGTACCAGATAGACACACATGCCTGTAATGTTGCCTGGAAGGAAGGTAAGCAATGTACACTATAAAGTTGCCTGCAAATTATAATGTATTTCTTCAAATATGGAAAATACAGGGATTTATCCTCACCATTAAGTTATCTTAAGAGCACCTAGAG